CCTCAACTCATGATCAATCAATCATCAGGAACATTCAGCCTTCCTTAATAGCTGGTTTCAGCTCATAGGTGGGGCTTTGCTTTCTAAGGTTCAGAGCAGATGAATTAACATGTGCATATTATAAGCTGGTGGTATATGGCCTAAGGATTAACTACTATAGCAACCAGTACTGTAGTCTGCCAACACATATTCACCCAAATTGCTGGATTTTCTAAGTTTATACGGATAGGATTTCTATGTAGGTGTTCATTTATTGTACAGAGATTGCAAGTTTTATATTAAGTGGATTTCTCCAAGCACAAAAACACACAACCATTGCATCACCCTTCCAAAAAAATCTCTTGTGAATTATTCAAAATGAAACTGCTACTAAAAAAACAATTGCAGTGTGTTTTACAAATATTTATTTTATACATTGTAAGATCACTCCTGCTTGTTCATTTCATTCTATCCAATTACTCTACAAGAGTATTCTGGACAGTACCATGAATTATTCAAACTGAAATAAACTGGCACAAAACCATGGTATAATCAAAACCTTTCTACCCACAAACTTAATTCCATGTGAACTGCAATTTAAAAAACAATTAGAAGCATTAAAGAAAACTACTTTTATTACAAGACACTTTAAGAATGGTCTATGGGGACTGACCAAGTGACCTCTCTGTCGTCTCTTCTCCTTGAAGGGAACAGAGTTGGCTAGACTGTGCATATCCACAGGTATTTTCACCCAGACCCTTCTATACCTGGTTTCTTTAGGAAAGTAGCACACTGTGAAGAAGTCCTACTCACAACACATCAGATGACACCACTAAGTACTGGGTTTTTTGAGTAAGTGGTAAACACCCAGACACAGTGGAGTTCAATATCACCTAAAAATCAATTCCTACAGATACAAGAACATTCCCCAGACACACTTCTGTATCTAAGGTTCTTGGGCAAATATGGGTGAAAGGGGAACAATCCTATTTCAACTGTGGTTGCCTATATGTGTGAATTAAATAAGCATATGTCAGATTCCTCTATAGAGTGCCTACTACAGCCATCTACAAATGAGTAATGCATCCTCATTTCATCACTTCCAATGGAGTATAGCAGAAATATTTTGAGAAAAAACAGAGGTACAAGTTAGAAGAAAAGTACCACAAGACATGGATGGAAGAGAAGAAATAAAAAAGTACTGCACTAAAATATGCTTCCTCTGTCTGTAAATATAACTCTGTTGCTTGTAAACCTATCATCTGCATTTCAGCTGCTTTTTTCCTAGTATATTCTTCTATTTTTTCCTGTCTCCTGACATGACCTTTTTTCTTCCCTCTTTTGTCACTCTCTCCTCCATTCTTCCTACTGTCTTCATTTGTATGTTGCTCTTCTGAATTTACCTTTCACTTTCCTCTCACTTTATCTACTCTGGAGTAGTGATTCCTGGTTTTTCCTTCTACCATTTCAGTTCTGTAACCTCACTTCTTTACTCCTGAGATTTAGCACCTTCTTTTTCTTGTCCTGTAGCAGATGCAATAATGTTCGAACAGTCCAACAGAATTTGGGGAAAACTCCAGTGATGAATATCAAGGCTGCCTGAAGTTTTCAACTAGTATGAAACACCTGCCCCATTAACATACCATTACAGGAAAACTGTATGATAGAGATTATAGCAAGATACTGAAGACAATCAATATACTAGAAAAGAAAATATCCAAATAAATCAAGAAGAACAATGTCTATGCTTCCACAGACCAAGACTCATACACCTGTTACAGTAGTATTTCCTGCAACAGTAGGGAGTAGGTAGGAAGACACCTACCTCAAGGGAGAGGTATGATGATGTTGCAATTAAGTGCCATATTGTATTTTTTTCTCTTTTAATGGATATCTATCAACCAGAGCACTGGCCTTCCAGAAGAAACACTAAGCAAACTCAACTTTACAGACTCCTATTAACCAGGCAACCAGAAAGCTGCCCTGGAAGCTGTGTGGTGTATAGAAAATACCTCAATTCTTCCACAAAATAAACAGTTTTGAACTTTCCAACTCAAATAACTTTTAATTTTCTCGATTCAGCTAAGATCACCTTTTATGTGGTTACTTAAAAATGACCAAAGTCCATGTGAACGCTGTGGAGCATCTGTGCTCTCCATGCTTTCCCAATCGGCACCATTGGCTCAGTCTGATGCAGCTACTGTGCATCACAGTACAAGCTGTGCAAGGAAAATTATTCAGCTCAAAGCTACCCGGAGCAGAAAAAGCAGCCAAATTTAGTTAAATCTGGAGCTGTTAGGAATGCAGTTCCAACCAGGGCTACCTATTAGGGACAGTAATAATTTTTAAGATCAGAGAGCCTGATAACCTCAGATAAGGCAGTTTATATGAACTCAGAAAATAGAAAACTACTTTGCTTTTATACTGTGCAACATTTACCTCCTGAGCATCAGTCAGAGTTTGAAAGCGTAGAGGTAGACTTACATTAAATCTCTTTTTAGAAAGGTTTTAAGCTTCAAATTACACCATATAGATATTAGGATTTTACCTTTAATAATGAAAGACATTTTATATGATCTTGGTGTCCATGACTGCTACTGCTCTCAGTACCTTTGCTGATATTTATTTGGGTGGAGAGAACAAAAAGCCACTCTGGGAACAAGTAAAGTACAATGCAAAAGAGAACTTTCTGTTTTTCAGGTCAGTAAATGCTTGTAAAAAATTAGCAGTGTTTTATAGTCAACAAGAATATATTCTACAAGCCAAACAGATCTGACTTCAAATAAGGTGTTTATTCCAAAAGTATGAACGTGATTTTGTCAGTTTGATCCACTTATGATTAAAGCTGAAGCAATTTTGAGCCATTAAATAGGAAATGTAATTTTAGGATTCTCCCAGTTACTTTCTGCTTTAGATGACAACAGAGACAGGAAGACTGCCTTCCCTAGGACTCCACACAGGATTTTTCCAAGGGCTGTCCAAAATTTTACTGAATGGCATCAATGGTTAATTCACATACTGATTCAGACAGCAACCAGCTCACAATCACAGCCAATCCACACAAATGTACAACTCTAAGGCCTGATTAAGTGACCTCTCTGCTGTCTCTTCTCCCTGAGCAGTTGACCAGACTTCGTTTGGTATTTCTGGGTGCAAATACCCAGACGTATTTTCACCCAGACCCCTTTATACCTGGTTTCTTTAGGAAATATATGAAGAAGTCTTCACACAAAAGAAGACTTACAAAACTGATTATACTGAGAAAGGAAGAAAAAAATCACCTTAAAAACTAGTTTGTGCTAGTTATTTTTGACAAATTTGTCTTAGTACACTCATTGGTGTTTACAAATATATATTTTTTCCCAATAATTAAACTAAACTTGAGCCTCTATTTTAATCCTGCTGTTAAAACACAAGGACAAAAGGAATTAAATGTTGTTGATGATTGCTCAACAGAATATTCCATCAATCTTGGCATGGAGTCACTTTCTCTAGAAGAGAAAGTGGTTTGGAAACCACTCAACTGCCAGTGTTTCTGTATCAGGTCAGGGAAAAAATTCACCAAATACGTCTGGGCTCTGTGTCAGTTCTCACCTCTAAAGAGGCCACAGGAAAGCTGGAGAGGGACTTTTTACAAGGGACTGTAGGACAGGACAAGGTATTGGCCCCAAACTGAAAGAGGGTAACTTAGATTTGATATTAAGAAGAAAGTCTTTACTGTGACATACCATGTGGTGGTGAGTAGTTTCCCTGACAAGCTGTGGATTCTCATCTCTGAAAGCGTTCAAGGCCAGGCTGGATGGGCTTGGAGCACTGGTGCAGTGGAACATGTCCCTGCTCATGACAGGGGGGTTGGAACTAGATGACCTTGAAGCTCCTTTTCAGACCAAACTATTCTAGGATTCTGTGATTTAACTTGTAGGTTCTCTCTAAAACACCACTTCATTACCAAAGTCATAGGTAGGAGACAATTAGCTTCCTCCAAGATCAGACAACATTTATAGTTTTAACCAGAATTTTAGTGCTCTGAGTTTGTTTGACCAGCATGCATGCATGCAGACAGGTATCTAACCTCAACCTTACAAGTCAAATTCTCTGAGGTTGTTATTTATTAACTCAGAGACGTAGAAGAAAATAAAGCAAGAAGACTGCCAATGCAAGGTTCTTAATAGGTTATAGATGAAAGGAGGAATGCTTCTTCGAATCCCCTAAATTAACAGCCTTCTTCTATCCACAGACTGTTCTTGGCCAATATCCGTAAGTAATGGAATTATGAAAAACAAGCTGCAGCTTCCAGAGTTTTGCAATTACCAGGGGATCATACAGCTTGAAGAACCATAGATGGCTGCATGCCGCAGAAAATTCTAAGCCAAAGGGTTGTAGTCAAAGGTTACTTTAAAAACAACTTTCCAATTTGAGATATAATGAAGAAAATTTGAGAGACATGGTATTTAAATGCAAATAAGATAAATTACATACATCTATATTGCAATCTGAGAGAGAAACAAGCCATTAAAATGAGTGTTTCATCCACCTCCCACCACTGTAAGTTTTAAAATGGATATAATTCATAACTTGTGAAAACATGTGAAACAAGTTTATTCTAAATTGAAAGAAAGTAGTTACACCCGCACACAAGTCAAATATTTGGCATTATTTAAGACCACAAAATTTGATTTTCCTGTTCTCCTCTATTTTTACCAGAAGAGAAAATGTGATCTTCCTGCCATGAGCGCTTAAAAAGAGCCATGAAAAGCAGATTTCAGTTGTTTTCACACTATGTTTTATCTCCAGGGTCTTACTTAGATGAAACTCCTTAAGTAATCAGTATATTTTCCAGAAGACTCAACATTTCCCTTTTTAGCCCAATTATGATCACAGCTCTGGGTGATGCCACTGAAGCACTTCAGACAATTCATCTTGAATGAAGAATATATGGAGGAGTACCAAAAAGCAGTAAGCTCTAAGAAATGCTGCTCAAAACTATATTTACAACATAAATAGTTACACCAGCAACATACCTGAAGAAGAACATGAACAGAGCAGCTGTGATGCAGAACAAAAGGACCTACAAGAAGAAGAAAGAGTGTTGTTACATAACACACTACTACTGCATGTTCTGGATTGTGAAGATGTTATAACTTTTATTATAAAAGCTACACTTTATTTATATGCTTGAGGGGCCAGAATGAAAGCTTGTCTGAGTCCACCTAAAAGGATTGCCTTGTTTCTAGAGAAATTCAAATGATTCCTGTAGAAGCTTAAAAAAATGAAACCCAAACCAGGGTAGTGGGACAACAGACAAAGCAAATGGCACCTTTTAAAAGCATCTGTGATAAAAGACCAAGTAATAAAATAATTATAAACCAACAGAATTTAAACAATAAAATCTTATAACTGAAATTTAAACATAATATTTTACCAGTCTTTGCTTTTGTGATTTATTCAAATCTCATATTGCTAGTTCCAGTTTAAAAGGCATGGTGTTTAAAACATCTGCATAGACAAGTGCTTGTGCTGCACTGCTTTCCAGCAAGTTTGGAGTAGATAATTCTATTCCAAATTAACAGCACCCTAATAGTTTGGCTTAGTGCTAAACTCACTTGGAACAATCCTGTCTTGCCCTGTATCATCAATGTGCTCATAAAAGAGTCACTGAGCAAACTTAGCAGTTCTCCAGCACTAAGAGAGGAATATCCTACTTCCTCCAGCCATCCTCTCTGCTGGTGCTCAGAGCTGTTACCTCCTCCTTATCACCTGCACAGGGACTCATAAATGCTGAAGAAAACCTGCCTTAATCCGATCCATCTTTGCCAGGTACACCTCACAAGTGAGAAAATATTTACTTGTTCTAGATACACTGGCCAATATACATACCATCATTTAGGAGGCAAAATCCTTACAGAAATATCCCAAGTCTTTCAGAAAATATATGCACCTATTTTCAAAGGTTGAAGAAGTTTTCATAATGAGAGGATACAGGTGCAAATTAGAAGGTTATAAACACGTAGAATAGGAGGCTACAGCGTGTTATAACAGACCAGAAAGTGTGAGAAAAATTTGCATAGGAAATCTTTACAATGACTTTCAGAGAAAAAAAAAAAACCTAAAAAAGAAAACAACTCCCCTTTTTAAGGCCCTTGGCAAGGGAAATAAAAATGGGGCAAAAAAAAAAATAAAAAAACCGCCGGAAAAAACAACCAATTTTTTCCTTTTCCTTCATCAGTACTATCATACTTTATTAATCTGCATCAAAATTGTGAACATCGGAAGTAATTTTATACAAAATCATTAGGGCAAAGGTATATTTCCTGAGGGCAATTGAATTTTTTATTTCAAACTATCAGCAAAAGCAGACAAGCAGTCTTGTTTTTAAACACAAATTCTACTCAAAAATATCTGCCCTATTCCTCTAAAGTTCAAAATGTATTTGATCAGTTAAACAACCATCAATTCTCTGGAGGTTATTTTGGAGACACAGAGAGAAGGCAGCTTGACAGCCTGAGCAACAATATTGGGAAATAAGTGAGATATGGCAAAGAACCAGTTTTCTGGATGATGTGTGGGAGGGTGGGGGATGACAAAACAAAAACCAAACCAAGCAAAAATATCACAATAAAAAAAACTTAAGCCTTCGCATACTAAAACCACTTCACAGTCTTTTTCTTGCCCTTTTTTCTTTAATTCCTTTTTTACCTTTTTTTTTTCTCAGTAAGTTTGATAATAATCTAACAAGTATCTATATGTATAATTAAGACGTCCTCAGAGCTTTCTACTCCAGGCTAAAGCACTGCAGCTTTCTCAGCTTGGGAAATGCAGCACTGGCCACAACACTACAGACATGTCTCAGCAGCCCTGAGCAGGAGGGAAAGGTCACCTTGTTCAGCCTGCTGGCAGTGGCCTCCTATGCTGGAAGTGGCTTCTGATGGCTCATGTCCAGGTTGGTGACCACCAGGACCCCCAATTCTTTTCTGAAAAGCTGCTTTCCAATGCCCCCAGGATATACTGGTGCCATTCCTCACCATAGCCACAACTTAACCCTTTGCTGAACCTCACGAGCACCACTAGTAAAGAAAAGCATAGACAAAACCAGGCAGTTCAGAAAATCATGATGGGAATAAAAGGTCTGTAGGGTACAACTGTTGGAAAACTGTTGAAACTATAAAAGTAGTTAGTGATGAATATGAGAACTATTTTTGTGTAGTTATCATATACTAATAAATCTGTCTCATCAAGTACAGAGGGAGAAAGGCAGAGTTAAATCCACAGCAAATAAAGCATCAGTTAGATAACAGAAAGAGCTCTCCAGGGTAGCGATACACCAGAACAAGTTGTCTGTGAGATTGTGGAATCTCCTTTATCAGAGATGCTTAAGATCAGTAGAGGCAAATGTATCCAAGAAATGTCGTGGGCATGTTTGACAGGGTCTCTCCAATATTTGGTCAACTGAAGGACAGCAAAATGTGCAGCTAAACCAGACCCAGACTATTCTACATGAAATTCACAGGCCCACATAGAAAGTCCAGAAACTGCCTTATTACAGCACAAATAAGGCAGAAACAGAAGAAAAATTGTCACTGTGCTCCAAATCTAAGCTACTTTCAAAATAAACCTATTTCTAACTTTTCCCCCATTCTAGAATTTTTTGTAATAACTGCTGCACAAAATGCAGTAGCCATTTTAGTTTTTAAAATAACTATATTAAAAAAAAGGAAAGATGCGAAGGCCTACAGAAATAGAATTCTAAAGATTAAGTGAATTTAAGACTTCTATTCCAGTGAGCAGGAAGTCTCACTTGGGATTTTTCTTGCAGAGTCCATTACTTTTTGATTTACAACAGAAGACCAACACAATGTACTTGGCAACATACAGACCTTGAAGCTTTCCAGCTGAAGAAACAGATATAAGCAGAAAACCTGCATGTTGCTAATGAGAATGATATGCCCTAAAGATTCTAACATCTATGAAGAGATGCCTGTAGGTCACAAGGAAAAATCCTTATGGATTAGCACATTTGGTATGTCAGTACTTTAACTGATTATGTTATACTTCACTGTACTATGCTAAACCTTAATAAAAAATAAAAGGAAATTTGCTGACAAAACTGAAGAGGTACTTTTTTCCCAGATCTCTGTTGGCTGACAAAGCCAGTATTTATTTTTTCCCAAGAAAGTTCAGTGCTCATATAATCAGCAACAGGAAGTGACATCTGGCAGTACCCAGCACTGAGCACAAAACAAAAAGCTCTGGGTGAAAGTGGTTACCACTTGCCCTGGTGACAGCAGTAGACCTAGTAACACCAGTAGAAGTAGCTCACAAATGACCTTCCCTCACAGCCAGATAAAAATCTTGGCCCAAAGAAAGGAAAAATAACACTGCTGAAACTATCAAAACTACTTGAGTCTTGTGTATTCAGGCTTTTCCCGCACATGACTCAATCCTGAGGTTATGTGCATTTTCTTTAAGCATTTCCATTATAGTCAGATTTCCTGGGGTACAAAAGTTCTCTGATTGGAGGCTGCTCCCCTAGAGCCACAATAAAAAATAGGACTGAAGTCTATGACAAAGGAACACAGACCTAGTAATTGAAAGGAAAAGCACTGAAGGTACTCATAATCTATTTAATGAAGACAGGAGGAGGTAAATGGGCAGATCAGTGATATTAGCTGGTAGAAGCATCCAGACTGTTGGAACTACAGTTCAACACTGCATAGTGCTACTACCAGCTCACCGAAGACCTAAGGCAGCTTCAACAACTGGCACACAACACTTGACTTCCAGTGTATTCATAAAGTCTGAAAACCATCACCTTCCTGATCAACCACTTTGCAATGTATGCGAGACCTACAGCTACACTTGATAAAAACAAAGTTACTACTATGACTCCTAGATCCTGGAGGTTGTGTGCTACAGAAACCTGAACTGCCAGCTAAACTCTGTCTGAGGGAAGGCTTAATAGTAAAAACCATGGAAAATTAAAAACCCAGTTGAAATAAGCCCCTTTAGTAATTAGTACCTGAGCCAATTTCTTCCAAAGTTACAAGATCTACAACTGGGATATATATAACTGGGAGCTTTGTCTAGTTGGTTAAAAATTTTCACTCTTAAAATATATGATGTAGAAAACCCCAACTATTTTGCGTAATTTTTTATTCCTTAAAATACAGACATTCATCCAGAGAAGAGTTTACTGCTGTCTCTGCTGCTAGAAGTTATAACCCCCTCTCACCTTTATGCACACAGTTGAATAGCAGCATAGTAGCTCTACTATATATTATTATACTAGGGATCTCAGAAGATGTTCCATGGGACTTCTGACTACACAATCTATTTTTCTAATTTACCCCTACTTCAGACATGAAGAATGATTTGTTGCACACAAAAGCCATTCTGTTTTTTTTCCATATATATAAATCAGTCTAATGCTTGCAATTCCCAAATTTTATTTCAAGATGTATTACTGCTCTTATTAAAATGTTTTCTAAAGTTCTTTTCACTAATATTATCTCTAAAGCAAACTCCCTTCTAACAAAACCAAAATAAAACAAATTAAAATAATGGAACTAGCTATGCAGATTAATGTAATGGTCTTATACTCCATGACCCACGAAATATGTATGTATGGAATATCTTTTCCACCTGTACATAACATTCTAATCAATGAACTGTTTTTGTGAAATACACTGGTTAACCTTCTCCAATAAAAAGTAGCTACTTTTAAAAGTATGTAATTTTCTGTAATTCTCTAATAGTTAAAAGGGATGGAAAATCACAGTCTGAGTAAAAGAGCAAAAAAGATCTTCTAGATAGATACCAGAAGTCATATCAAAAGACACCAAAAAAACTTACGTAAAAGCAGGAGCCATGTTACTTTACATTTAGCATCTTAAAACCGTATCTGATAACGCTTACAAATATAAATAGGCTTTTTTACCATTATTTAACGCCTCAAGCAAGAAATTACCACAGTAAACAATTATCTGATGGAATGAGTGACCATTAGCTGAGACAGCAGCTCCTATGAGACAGTTACATCATCACCTATATGGGACTAAAAGGGAAAACTTC